AGTTTAGCCTATTTTAATTTTGGCCCCTGCTGACTGCCAAGTTGTACAGATATGGGTTAGAGGCTTACTGACAAGCTGTGAGATAGAGAAAGGAAATTTTTTAAAAAATCATAGGAAGAGAGAAAAAAATTGGGAGAGAAAAATAAGTTATTGCATTGAGCAGGGAGCAACTGAGTGTCTTCTCATAAATAAATGTGAGAGGTTACCTTTTATAACCATGGAAATTATATTGTATTGGGATTCTTTCTCCCCTTACCCCCAACCATCTTGTCAATTGAAATTTAACAATTAAGTACCGGTATGTACTAGGAGCTAGTTATACAGATACTAAAATTAAATAGCCCCCTGCTTCAAGGAACTTATATTTATAGGAAGAGGAAGAGAGATACAACATGCAAACAGATAAAATAAATGCAAACTAATTTGAGAAAGGAGACATCATCACAGTTTGGGGGATTAGGAAAGGTTTTGTGGAGGTGCTGATAGAAATGAAAAGGGAGTGAATTCCAGGATGGAAGAAAGGAGAGACAGTCAATACAAAGATACAGAAGTGGAACATGGGATGATGAGCTTATGGAATAGCTGATCAGCTGGACTAGAATGTAGAGATTTTAAAGAAGAGTAATAATAAAAATAATAATAATAATGATATAGTTAATATAAAATTAATCTTATAAAGTGCTTAGAATCAGATTGTGGAAGGCCTGCAGATCCTTCAGTCAAAGAAAATGAAGGAGAAAATCATAGGATCTCACAGTTGGAAAGGAGGTTAACCTCTGCCTCTACATCATATCTAATAACTGGACATCTAGCCTCTACTTAAAGACTTATAATGAGGTAAAAATACCTCCTGAGATAGGAAGGAAGGAAGGAAAGAAGGAAGGAAGGAAGGAAGGAAGGGAGGGAGGGAAAGAAGGAGGGATTTGTTACATGCTTACTAAGTGCCAAACACTGTGCTGAGTTGTGGGGATACAGATTCAAAAATATAGAGACAATACCTGCTGCCAATGGACCCATGTTCTAATAGGGAAAGACAGTAGGAAAATTAGGACCAGTGAGGGGTCTCTTAATCTGGGAAGTTAGAAGAATACAAAAATGGCAAGTATTGTCAAGGAGGAGTTGGTCAAAATACCTTTATCAAAAGCCATTAGAGTACTGATTTGTTTATAATTCCCTGAACAAGAAGTCAAAAGAGAAGGGTGGAGATAACTCATCCAGTAGAAGTAGATAACTTAATAGAATAATAAATATAGTCTGGAGATGACTAGATGTTGTGGACTGTGTCAATTCATATTCATTCACCAATCAAGACAGCTCAGACCCCAGGGTGGGAATTCCAAAGATGAGTAAATGAAACCCCCCAGGGCATGGTCTTTGGGGGTTTAGTAGTCTTAAGAATGCAACAGTAGAGCAGATAGAAAGAACATAAACTGATTCTAGCCATTCCTCCTCCAATGTGGCTATTGTGAAGTTGATTTTATGGAATGGAGTATAAAACTTTACATTGATCTCTTTTAACTTTCATCTTGTTCAGACCAAAAACTTCAAAAAAGAGGAACAAACAGTTCTCAAAAAGAGAATTGCAAGCTGTTACCAATCATATGAAAGAATCTGTCAAATCCCTAATGATAAGAAAAATCCAAACTACTCTGAGGCAATGTGTCCACCTCAACAAATTGGCAGTGATTACAAAAGACAGGAGTAGTTGGTGTTGGAAGAATTTTGGAAAGAAAAGTACACTAATGCTTTGTCAGTGAAGCTGTGAGTTGGCCCAACCATTCTAGAAAGGAATTTGGGTTAAAAAATGACTGTAATGTCCATACCCTTGGACCCAGAGATTCTACTGCCAGGCATGTCTCAAGGAGGTCATTAACAAAAAGAAAGGATACCATATATATACCAGCATTTTTTATGGCAGCAAAGAAATTAAAGTAAATGCCCACAAATTAGGGGATAGCTAAACAAATAATGGTACATGAATATAATGGAATATTACTGTGCTATAAGAAATTATATAGGTGATAAATACAGAGAAGCATGGAAAGATTTTCATGAATTGATATGAAGTAAAGTAAGCAAAGTCAAGAAATACACACACATATACATATACACACACATATGTACATATACATACACACACATATGCATTCACATAGAACTACAAAAAATTAAATGCAAAGAACAGCAATAAAATAAACAAGATGGAATATTGCAAAATAATTTTTAAATGCTTGACCCCAAAGAAAATATATGAGAAGACACCTCTTCCTTGATCTGTTTTAAGAATTGGTCTCCATATGTGTGGAATATTGCATATGATGTCAGATTTTCTTTGCTGTGTTGATTGGTGTTGCTAAATATTTTTTTCTCTTTCATTTTTTTTAAACTATTTTAAGGAATGGCTCTTTAGTAGTGGAAAGAGATATAGTGAGAAATCTAAGCAATGTAAAAACAAAAGATTTGAGTAAAACCTGTTTAAAAAAACTTATCTTACCCAGTTCATTTCATCTTTCTCCTTCTAGCCTGGTAATATTTTTCTCTGAGTTAGCTGTCTTTCTCACATCCGAAAATTTGTCATGTATGCCCTCTGTGGCATTAACCAAAGAATTAATATACGTATTAGGTATTTTCTAAACTTGTAATTTAGGTAGTACAAAATTATCCCCATTTTACAGATGAAAAATGAGCCTCAATGAAGTGTCACCTTGCAAGAAGTGGTAGATTCAAAATTTAAATGAAAGCCCTCCTGATTATAGTTCTAACATTCTCTTCACCCCTTACATACTAAAAGTGGACTGAATATTTCCATTTTTACTCTTTTAAAGCATCAGGTGGCCACAAGTCTCTTGACTGCCCTGTGATTCTATTTTCACTAATTCATGGTGCCCCAATCCCTGGAAGGACTGCTAGAAAACCAAATATGGGCAGCTTAATATGGAAGGCACTATTAATTTAGTTTGGGATCTAGTAGAAGAAGAGATAGAATTCTTCTGGTGCCAGAAAAGGGTCAACCACTGTTGGAGGGAGAGGGAGGAGGGAGGGAGAAAAATAGCTGCAAAATATTTAGAGGATATCTCTTCTAATCTCTTCATTTTATCAGACCTGGGGGAAGGGGAGGATGTTAAGGTCATGGAATATAACATAATGCCAGAATATAATATAAACCAAAAAATGTGGTCAGGCCTTCAGTTCCTTGGAGCAACGAAAGCATTTGTGAGGACTCATTAGATCAGTAATCCTCTACTTATCCACTGGTCAGAATTCCTATAAATTCATCCTTTTGGTACATTCCTTTTTAAAATATTTTTAAACAGGGGGTGGCTAGGTGGTGGAGTAGATAGAGCTCTGGCCTTGGAGTCAGGAGGACCTGAGTTCAAATGCGGCCTCAGACACTTGCCATTTACTAGCTGTGTGACCCTGGGCAAGTCACTTAACCCCAATTGCCTCACCAAAAAAAAAATAAATAAATAAATGAATTTTAACGGGTCTTGAACCTAGAAATTAATTGAGAGTTAGAGACAAAAACCCTCTAAGTGCCCCAAAATGGCTTCCACAAAGCCTGTACTTGTTACTCCACAGGTTGGGAAGTTGTTTTCTGAACCAAAAATCAGAACATGGACACTTTGATAAAATAAATTCATTTTGTAAAGCTTCATTAAAAGTCTTCAAATGGGGACTGCTCTTGAAGAAGATTCTAATGAAAGAAGTTAAGCCAGTCCCTGGCTTTTCTAGTACAAAGTTTGTTTAACTTCACATTGTACACAGTTCTAAATTGTTGTGTTTCTTTTGGTAATCTTTGGTGCTGCCCAGGCCCAGGCTGTGGGGCCATCACCAGTCATCTTGACTTAGATCTTGCCACTGGACTCTGAAAGGTGAGGCTGACAACTTTGCCTCAAACCCAATTCATTGACAAGTCAAGACATCACCCTCATGATATCATTGGTCCTCTTCAAGAATGAAGGAAGAGGGGCAGCTAGGTGGATGGAGCACCGGCCCTGATGTTAGAAGGACCTGAGTTCAGATCCGGCCTCTGACCAAACACTTGACACTTACTAGCTGTGTGACCCTGGGCAAGTCACTTAACCCCAATTGCCTTTAAAAAAAAAAAAAAAGAATGGGAGAACAACATCCCAGACTGTGGACATAGTATATTAGATATGCTTTGGGAAAGCTCAATAGGAGTCAGGAAGACCTGAGTCCAAATCCAGCTTCAGACACTTGTTAGCTATGTGACCCTGAGCAAGTCATTTAACCTTTGTTTGCCTCAATTTCCTTAGCTATAAAATGGGAATAACAGCGCCTACCTCCAGAGTTGTTGCAAGAATCACATGAGATATTATTTTTGAAGTGTTTGACATAGTGCCTGGCACATAGATTGATGCATAAAAAGTTAAGAAATGTTGCTATTTATTACTTCTCCTTGATCATTTGCAAATCCATTTTGAGGCTCACCAAAGGTGTAGTTATGGAAAGTACTTTTGGAAACAGAAGACAAAATTGAAGAATGGGCAGGTGGCCACTGGTGCCAATACATTATATTCTGGCATTGTTAGCATCTGTAGTGCTGTATTTATAGCACTGTGTTGCCTAAAGATCAAGTGTGAAAAACGACAGACTCATAATATTTAATATGTGCATTACATGTTACAACTTGCTAGGGTATTTGTTATTGTTGTTCCATTGTTTTCAGTTGTGTCTGACTTTTTGTGACTCCATTTGGGATTTTCTTGGCAAAGAGACCAGAGTAGTTGGCCAGTTCCTTGTACAGCTCATTTTACAGATGAGGCAAACTGGACTTAAGTGACTTGCCCAGGGTCGCACATCTACCAAGTGTCTGAAGTCAGATTTGAACTCACAAGCATGCCTTCCTGATTCCAGGCCCTGCACTTTATCCCCTGCACCACCTTGCTGCCCTTTGGGTGATTTAACCTTATTTTCATGAAGAAACTTGAATTTGACAGATAAAATGCAACACATCCACGAATGCTTTTCTTGAGCAGGTCAGCCAGTACACCTTTGCTATGTGCAGTTACAGAGAAAAGAAGTCTGAACCACAGGAGTTAATGCAGCTTGAAGGCTATACTGTGGACTACACAGATCCACACTCAGGTAATTTATTCCATTCATATATTTTTTTTCACCGGCATATGTATCTCAGTATGTAATTCCCTTCATTCTGTGCATTATTCAATGTTTGTTTAAGCCTCGGTTGTCCTTTATTTTCTCAAATATGACTACATTAGATATCTTTTCTATGACAGCTGTTTCATTTGAACTTTAAGAAGAACGTGTTAGCCTCTTAAGAGTTTCCAGATTTCTTGACTGACAAAAAAGATTTTCTGGAAAATAAGCAACAGACACTTTCTTTCTAAAATCCAAAAAACTCTACAGTAACTTAGGGTAGGGGGAAAAACTCCCAGAAATAAACTTAATGACAAGGACTCTCCTCCTTATCCTCTTTCTAGATTCAACCAGAGAACCCGAGAACAAAGCCCAGTCCTGCTTACTCGCTGGGAGCTCTTTCTAATCAGCCTGGTTTGCTCCTGTGTAAAACAAAGAGGTTGGCCTAAGTAACCTCCAAGGTCTCTTTCCGCCTCAGATCTTATCATCTTTCCACCAATAAGAATTAGAGCACAGCTATGTGAAATTTTAAGGCTCCAAAACATGCTTATTGAATTAATAACTAATAAAAGTCAATTACTGTGGTTGAGCAGTGCTTATTAACAGTACTGGTGGTTTTGATCAATGGAAAGAAAGACCATAAGAAGGAGGGACAGTTCTCTTCTAAAAAGACCATAAATCGTTCTTTTTGGTCTCATTTGAAAGTTAATGTCAAACATTAAAAAAAAAAAGCCTGTGTGTTAGTTGATTGAATTAATGCAACATGGTCAGTTCTTTATCTTCCCTACCAGTTTTGATTTCCCTGGGCTAACCAAGAAAGAGCCCAATAATAAAAAGATACTTTCTCTTTAGAAATTCAATCATGTGTTTCACCTGCAAATAGAATGGCAAGTGTTCCAAAGAGTGAGACTGTCTTCTCTAATAAGAAATATTTCAAGAAACTTATAAGATATATTTCAGTAGGGGAATAAATGTGTGGCTTTCAAGTGGTCATTGCCCATAGGGTGTCAGTTTCCTCGAGTTGTTATATTTTTTAAGTGATATGATAAATGAAAATTTTCTTTAGTTTCCTTTCATACCTTTCTGTAGCTCTTACCTATAAACATTATAAGTGATAAGCTACTCATATAGCTCTCCATCAGTAGTCAGTAATTTTCTATTAGAGAGTTTAATAAAGGGGATAAAAATCTTTTAATTTTACACATATCTCAAAGTAGGAGTTTTATTTTAATCATGTTTATACTTATTTCTTCAGGACTTCAGGGTGGCCAGATGTTCTTTAATGCTGTTAAAGAAGGAGATACTGTAATATTTGCCAGCGACGATGATCAAGATAGGATATTATGGGTCCAGGCTATGTACAGGGCAACAGGTCAGTCATATAAACCTATTCCTGCAACTCAGACCCAGAAGCTGAATCCCAAAGGAGGAACTGTCCATGCAGATGCTGCTCAGCTTTGTAAGTTATTTTTTAAAAATAATTTGATTATCAATTAATAAGCTTAATGTGATATAAAATTGTCTAATGTAAATTTGTACAGTTTTATAGTTTATACAGTTTTGCAGTTAAACTGGTTCCTAATTAAATAAAAATAGTTCATTTTAATACACATGCAACCAATTATCTAATTTTTTTTACATAAATCTTAGACTAATGATTCCCAACCTTGGTTCAGCAACACACCAGGGTGTCTCCAGTAATTTCAAGAGTGTGTCACAAAAGTCTTCAGAAACTATCAAGGCAAAATTCAGTTTAATTCTCCATAATTTCAAAGATAAATCGATGCTAGAGAGGAATTTTTAATGGTATTGAAAAATGACACAAAACCAAATAGTGATTGGATACCTCATACCAAAAATCTAGGAGTCATTATTTTGAACTGTTAAAAGTAGATGAGCTTTAAAAGATTTCTTTCTCTCCTAAGGTGTTTTAGCAGTATTATACTATTAATTACATTATCATACCAATTATTTAAAAAATGTTTCATGAGCCCTAAGTCATTGCATTAATACCAATTCTTTAATCCTTTGTTATTAGTCATTTTTGTTTTACTGTATGTTTCTATACATCATCAAGAACTGTGTACTTAGATTTCACGTATTACCATAATTAGTTACAAAAAGCATAAATGCCAATTAGTAGAACCATTTTCAAGTGAAAGTTAAATTTTTATAGCAAAATCTCATTATTTTCAATCATGTTCTTCTTCTTGAATGTTTTCAAAGACTTGATGGGTTTCCCAGAATATGTGTGATTGTTCATCCTGCCTTTAACCTGTGGCTTCTCCCCTCCCCCCTATGTTTTCTCTCATCTTCATGTACTCTTAGACATTCTTTACCCAGGTGTGTATAGCTTTTGCCCATTTTGTTCCCTTTCCCTCCTTCTAATTGATCAAGTAACTTCTCTCTCTTCTCCTAAGACCCCATTCTTCAGAATCTTTTTTTTTGAGGAAGCTTTAAACCAAGTCAACTTAAACAAATTATACTTGAAGAACATCTAGCACTAGAAAAAATTTAAACTCAAAAGCATATGGAAGTGATTATTGATAAATCAAAATAAATTAATAAAATTTTAAAAAATAAAAAATAAAAAAAGAACATCCAGCACTCAGAATGTGCTAATATGACAACTAAGAAACTCATCAGCAGAGGTTAGACACAAAGTGATTAAGCTGTTTGTGAAGAGGTGGCTTGTAGATTGTCAGTGTCCACCCTCATGAAATAATAGGTCAGCTGAAGTTGAAGTATAAGCAACAAGCAGTAATAGAAAAATCACATATTTAGGGTTGAATGGATTACAAAGTATGTTCCCAACAACAACCCTGTGAGATAGATGGCACAGAAAATTATTATCCCCATTTTGCAAATGAATAGACTGAGGTTCAGAGAGACTAAGTGAATTATCCTCATCAAGTCAGCAAGGTAGTAGAAGGACCAGAATTTGAACCAAAGCCGACTTACTCCAAGTTCAGTATGCTTTCTATTATACCACACTGCCCTCATGTATCAAAAGCATGTTAAGAACAGTGCAAATATTCCTACTCTTAAAATTAACATCAGCAACCTCAGTTAAAGTCCTATCTTGAAGTTTCATTACTGTTAAATTTTGAACCTGGATTCTCCCAAAATATACTTTACATATACATATGCATAGATCTATATGATAGCCAATATTTATTTAATACTAAATATCTACCAGGCACTGTGCTAAGCACATTACAAATATTATCTTATCTGATCCTCACAACAACTCTGGGAGGTAGGTGTTATTATCCCCATGTACATTTGGGGTTAAGTGACTTGCCCAAGGTCACACAGCTAATAAGTATCTGAGGCCGAATTTGAACTCAGTTCTTCCAGACTCTAGGCCTGGCACTGTAACATCTAGCTGCCTAAGGACTCATATTGATGATTTTGAAGATTTGCTGAAGTGTGAAACAATAATACTCCTAAAAGAAAAGTTGAGGGATGTAAGCAGGGTGTCTTTTTACTTTGTGAAATGTATTACTTTCTGCAGAAAATCAATTGCATCAATCTAAGGATTTCTAACATCCGCTATGTTTGCACACTCCTGCGTCTTAACCCACTGCTTTCCTTGGGCTGTCCTAAAGCATTCAGCAATAATAAGACATTCTTCTTGGAATTGTATTCCTCATCATTTCTTCCCATTTTGTCTTTTACTTTGTGCTTTTCCCTCTTTTTTAATGTTTCCATTCTATTTCTGTCTTTCCTATTTTACATTTGATATTAAAGGTGTCCCTTCTAGAATATTACACTGTGCCTTGAGTTCTTTAGAGGAAAACACACCGTGTTAGAAAATTAATAAGTAAACAATATATGTCAAATTTATTCAGTAATTGAGTGCTATGTCCTACACAAAACTAAACATAGATTTTGGTCGCTGTATTTGACATATTCATAAAGAAAAAGAACACATATGAGAAAGAGTAGGAATACACTGATTTTGGATCACAAGAAGAAGACATATGCATGTGTGATTATTCATCTGAGTTACCATGAGGCAGCAGAAGGCCATTGGACAAGTAGCCAGTAGTTATGAACAGTAACACAGTAATAACAAGGAATTATGAAGAAGAAATGGGCTAGGTTGAGGGAGCCAAGAGGTAGAATAGCAGAAAGAAATATAGGTAAGCTCTGCCTCTCCTCCCCAAACCACCCTCCAGTACCTCCGGAGAGATCTAAAAAATGTGCCAGATCAAATCCTGAATAGGAAATCCAAGAAAAATTCACAGTGAGTCATTTTTTTTCCCCAGTCTACATCATCACAGGGAAAAAGTGAGGTCTGTAGATCTCCAGAGAGAAGCTGTGTACCACAGCAAAAAAAAAAGGGTCCAGATCTAGCAAAGAGGGAGACCGCCTTGTCAAGGTGCAGGAATAGATGCCAACTGGCAGTGATGTGGCTTCCTAGTCCATTCCAGGTGACAGATTCAAGGTGAATTGCTTCTGGGATGGTGTTCCAGCAAAAGGAGAAGTCAGCAGGTGTAGGCTGTGTTCCAAACAAAGGGCGTGTTCAAAAGAAGGAAGCAGCTGTGTGGTTTTGACTCCAGGAGTGGATGGGAAAAAAAAAATAAGATAAAGCAAAAACAACTGACCTGAAAAACATATCAAGGAGAGAAAATTTAGGAAACATTTGACTACCTGAAAGCCATTAAAAAAAAATGATCTTAGACATCTTATTTCAAGAACCCTTAAAAGAAAACTTCCCAAATCTCTTTAAAACCAGAGGGCAAAGTAGAAACAGAAAGAAATATTCACAAACAGAATCACCATTCACCTTCTAAAAGAAATGCCAAAATGAAAACTCCCAGGAACATTATAGACTAAATCCAGAGCTTCCAAAGGTCAAAGAAAAAAATACTGGAAGCAACCAGACAGAAAAAAATTCAAGTACCAAGGAGCCATATGCAGAATCACACATGATTTAACAGCCATTAATATAAAGAAGCAGAGAGCTTGGGATATTATATTCCAGAACAGAAAGCGTATACACACACACAACACACACACACCACACACACACACACACACACACACATATACACACATATATTTATGCATATATGTATATGTATGTATGTATTTAAGAGGAGAAAATGGGTCTTTAATGAAATAGAGATCTTCTAAGCATTCCTGATGAAAAGACCAAAGCTGAAAAACTTTGAAGTACAAACACACGTCATAAGAAACACAAATAAGTAAACATGAGTGAATAATCATAATAGAAAAAACAAGGATAAACTGTTTACATTCTAATTTAGGGAGATGATAACATGTGTCCCCTCAGAAACATATCATAATCAGGGGGTCACTGAGGGAGTCTAATTAAAGAGCAAGCCTTGGAGTGGTTGTACTGGTTTGATTATTTAAAAAGAAGGATGGAAAGAGAAGGAAGAGGAAATACACTAGGAGGGGCTTGGGAAAAAGTTGAGAAAAAATATCTAGCATAACTGGGTGCACAAATAGAAGTCTATACATACAAGGAGGAAGGGGTGGGGAGGAACAGTTGATATTTGAACATAACTCTCACTTGGATTGGACAAAGTAGGGAAAATACACAATGTGGTAGAAAAATACCAAAAAATATTTTTGAAAAAATATTCAACAGGGAAGTAGGAGGGAAAGGGGAGAAGAGAATAAGGAAGATATATAAAAGGTGGCAAAGATTTGGAAACCAAGGGGGTTCCTGACAATTGGGAAATGACTGAACAAGTTATAGAATATAAATGTGATGGAATACTATTGTATTATGAGAATGAAGGGAATGGTTTTAGAAAAAAAACTAGGAAGATTTGTATGAATTAATGCAGAATGAGGTGAGCAGAACTAGGAGAACAGTTTTTATAGTGATAGCAACGTAGGAAAGATAAATAACTTTGAAATCTAAGGAACTGAGCAATAGAACAACTGGCAATGATTCCAGAAGACTCCTCATTAAGCACGATACGTACCTCCCTATAAGGAGGTGATGTACTCTTACTGATTTACTGATGTACTGATTGAGGCATTTTTTTGACGTGGCCAATGCAAGAATTTGTGTGTGTGTGTGTGTGTGTGTGTGTGTGTGTAAAATAGCTATAGTGTTTTTCTTTCTTATGCATTTGGAAAGGGGAAAGTTTGGTTTTTGTTGATTGGAAAAAAAATTTAATTTTTAAACATAAACTCTTCTTTGCCAAAACTAAGAGAAAGCTGATCAACAACCCACAAATTCTGTAGATATCCACACAATGGGAGGAGAACTTTTAAAAGTGCCCTCATTGTGTTGGATGGACTCCGTGGATAGGTTTTAAACTACATCATTAAAGGTAGTATTTCGATCAATAAAATAAAAAATGTTTGAGTAATCATCTCAAAAATAAGGTTTTCTAATTTCTTCTTAAGCTTTGTGTCTTTAAACTGCTTCGAATAATTTCTTTTATGAGTCCTAAGTAAATGGTGATT